GACGAGACAAGGATGCCCACTCTCTCCACTGCTGTTCAATATAGTACTGGAAGTACTTGCAATAGCGATTAGGCAAGAAAAAGATATTAAGGGCATCCAGATAGGGAAAGAAGAAATTAAGCTCTCACTATTCACAGATGACATGATACTATACTTAGAGAACCCTAAAACCTCTACCAAGAAACTCCTAGAAACAATAGGCTTGTATAGTAAAGTGGCAGGCTATAAAATCAATACCCAAAAATCCATGGCTTTCCTATATGCAAATAGTGAAAGAGAAGAAAGTGACATGAAGAAAACAATTCCATTCACCAGACAATCAAGTACCTAGGAATCGCCTTAACTAAGGAAGTAAAGGATCTGTACAAAGAAAACTACAAAACGCTACTTCGGGAAATAAAAGAGGACACGAGGAAATGGAAAAATATCCCCTGTTCATGGATGGGGAGAATCAACATTGTCAAAATGGCAATACTTCCCAAGGCACTGTACAAATTCAATGCAATCCTTATAAGGATACCCACGACATTCTTCAAAGAAATGGAGCAAACACTCCTGAAATTTATATGGAACAATAAGCCCCCACGAATAGCTAAAGCAATTCTTGGGAAAAAGAAAATGGGAGGAATCAACCTACCTAACTTCAAGCTCTACTACAAAGCAGTAATAATCAAAACAGCATGGTCCTGGAACAAAGGCAGAGTTGCAGACCAATGGAACAGAATTGAATATACTGACATCTCCTCCCAAACATATAATCATCTAATCTTCGATAAGGGGGCAAGAAAAGTGAAATGGAGCAGGGAAAGCCTCTTTAATAAATTGTGCTGGCAAAACTGGACGGCTACATGCAAAAAAGTGGGCTCAGATCTCTGCCTAACGCCATGCACAAAAGTAAGATCGAAATGGATTGATGACCTCAACATCAGACTGGAATCCATAATGTTTATTGAAGACAAAGTTGGCAAAACTCTCCACGTTATTGAAGTTAGTGGTATCTTCAAAGATGTCACGCCACTGGCCGAGCAAGTGAAAACAGAGATAGACAAATGGGACTATCTTAAACTAAGCTTCTACACCTCAAAAGAAACAGTGACCAAAATACAAAGACAGCCTACAGAACGGAAAAGAATATTCACCAAATACACATCTGACAAGGGGTTGATATCAAGGATATACAAGGTACTGGTTAAACTACACAAGAAGAAATCACCCAACCCCATCAAAAAATGGGGCGAGGAAATGAACAGAAACTTTCGCAAAGAAGAAATCTGAATGGCAAAAAGGCACATGAGAAAATGCTCTACATCACTAATCATCAGAGAGATGCAGATCAAAACAACAATGAGATATCATTTCACACCACAGAGACTGGCCCACATCCACAAGAACAAAAGCAACAGGTGCTGGCCCGGATGTGGTGAGAAAGGGACCCTCCTTCACTGCTGGTGGGAATGCCGGCTGGTCCAACCCTTTTGGAAAACAGTATGGACGATTCTCAAAAATTAGAATTTGATCTCCCATTTGACCCAGCTATAGCATTCCTGGGAATATATCCCAGAGAGGCAAAAAGGTATAGTCGAAGTGACATCTGCAATTGTTTGTTCATTGCAGCACTCTTTACAATAGCCAGAATCTGGAAAAAACCTGAGTGCCCGAGAACAGATTACTGGTTAAAGAAACTTTGGTACATTTACATAATGGAGTACTATGTAGCTGTTAGAAAAGATGAAGTTATGAAATTTACATACAAGTGGTACTACATGGAAAGTATCATGTTAAGCGAAATGAGTCAGAAAGAGCGGGATAGACACAGAAAGATTGCATTCATCTGGGGAACATAAAGCAACAAAACGGGAGACTAACACCCAGGAATGGCTCAGATTAGTACCAGGAATTTTGCTCCATGACTTGAAGGCCAGCCACATGTGCTAGGTGAGAAGGAAGCTCAGATAGAGAAGAGAGCACCAAATAAAGGGTGTTGTGAAGACCCTCCAGGGTGGGAGAGACATGCTAAAAGTAGTCTATAGACCAAACATGATTGCCACTCAATGCCTCTCTGGCAAAACACAGTACCCAAAAGAAGAGAGAGAGAACAAGGGGGAATGCCCTGCGACAGCGGCAGGGTGGGATGGGGGCGGGGGTGGGATGCTAGGACCCGTGGTGGGGGAGGGATGCTAGGACCCGTGGTGGGGGAGGATGGGCACTGATGGAGGGATGGGTACTTGATCATTGTATAACTGAAACCCAAGCACAAAAATTTATAAGTCTATAAATGTACTTCATGGTGTTTCACTAATAAAAAAATGATTAAATAAAAAAAATAAAAATGTTAAAAAATTAAAAAAAAAATAAATAGATAAAATTTATGAAGGCAACTATGACATACAATGCAAGCATTCTTGATGTTAAAAAAATGGTTGAAGCACTTGCACTATCTAATTTCATAATTTTCTATAAAGGTACAGTAACTGATGCAATGTGGTATTGGTTTAAGGAGAAATAGAGAGATAAAAGGATTCTAGAAATAGACTCGACTCTTATCATTAAATGACTTTTGAAAAAGACACTAAAGAAATTTAATTTTTCTTAAAATGAAATAAAAATTTAAAAAGGTAATAAAAATGTTAACAAATGATGCTTAGTGAACTGGTTTTCTCTATGAGAAAAATAACTTAAACTATTTTACATCATGTATAAGAATTGATCTGAAAGGCTCATAGATCCAAACATTAAAGCTGAAGTTAACACTGTCAATAAAAATATATATTGAAAAATAACTTTGTGACCTAACTTAGGCAAATCTCTTTATAGAAAAAGTTGAAGTAATGGATAAATTACCCTTCAGAGAAAAATAACAAAGAAAAATAAGTGAATAGAAAGGTTACACAGTTCACAGCTACAGATGATATCCACAATTCAGATAATGGACAGGAAATATGTATCTGGAATATATAAAGAATTCCTATAGCTCAATAATAAAACTGTAATTATTCAAATAAAAATGGGTCATACACTTTAAAAGATACTTCATGAAAGAAGATAAGTGAATAGACAGCCAGCAAATAAAAAAATTCCTGAAGTTATCAGTCACCCAAGTGAGTGATAATTGGAATCGCTGTGTAATACAAATTTACACACATGGAAATAGTTTTTATAAGCTTTCATCTGTCCTGTGACCCAGAAGTTCTAATTCTCAGGATAAAAAAAACATTTTTCTTGTATCAGAATATTCACACCAGCTCCATTTGTGGTTAGCTAGAGTCAGTAGCAACCTTTGTGTTCATTAAAAGGAGAATGGATATCCAAATTCTGATGGAACTTATGCAATGGAGTACTACTAAACAAATAAGCCAAAATTACTGATATATGTGACAATATGGATAAATCTCAAAAAATTGGTGCCAGACAGATTTAACAGGCTTTAAACTGCCAGCCTTGTATACTGCTGACCCTGGTTTATTCCCCAGCACTGCATACAATCCTCTGAGCACCAGCAGGAGCAAGGATTAAGACCTCAGCACCAGTGATGGTGGCCCCAAAACTGAACAAACAAAAAACTTTCCTGAAAGAAATCAGATACAAAAGAATGGACACTGTAAAACAACATGTATACAAAATTCTAGTACAGAATCAATGATGACATGTCTATTAAATTCTGGAATTAATTCAGTGATGAAAATAAGAGACAATAATGTTAAAACTGGGATAGGTAGATCATTTTCCTTGCATATGTGAGGCCCTGGGTTAGATTCCTGATATACATATATACAGTATGTCTATCTATCTGTAGAGAGATCTAGATATATAACTAAACAGAGAAATATAGAGATATAGTGCTATGGTGCTTATCTGTGAACAGGGAATCAAAGAACAGGGATAAAAAACTTTCTTGAGTAATAAAAAACCTACATTTAGAATCACAACCCTAATTAAAACCTGGACATCTGTCTTTCCTCCTGATATCTATATACATGTGATTCTGTTGCACAGTAAGTATTAAAAAGAACAGTCAAGAATTTCTAAAATTTTGTCACAAGCTTCATTTGTCTTTCATTTTAGAAATGGAAATTATAAAATAAGACCAAAGTAGATTCCTTTATATAAATTTTAAAAAACCTCAAAGCTAATGTTCTTAACAGACTAAATGGAAGAGTTAGTGTTAACCCATTTTGTCCTCTGGATAAACTTGCATGCTTGCTTTCAGGATGAGAAATGCCTAACTAGTATGCCTCTAATTTTTGCTTTGGCTGCCAAAAAGTTCAGAGCCAAATTCAATGCTCTGTTTCGTGATTAACATCCCAGCTGCTTGATATAATAATTTGGGGAGATGGTTGGGGGATAGAAAGTGGGGTCATTAAATTATCCTATTTTACATTGTAAACTACCTCAAGTCATTTAGGGAAAAATGACAGTGTATAAATCATATAAATGTTGAAAAATTTGATAGAAAAAATTTTTGACTGCAAAAGTAAATACTTTGTATGCTTCTTGTCAAAGAAAGTTAGATTAGTAAGGACTTTCTTATAACTAGAATGAGTCATCCTAAAGTTACTACCCAACCAAATTATCAAGTGATATAAGAAAATACAAAATTAAAAATATACTCATGTTGACAAGCATTTTGCTTATATTAGGTCATAAGGGTTAGACTGGAGTAGCCAATATAAAAGTAAGGAATATGTTAAGAGTCCATAAATGTATTAGAGATGGCATAAAACTATAATTGCACTTCATTACATTCCTATGCTATATAAGGAAATTGGATTTGTATGCACATGTGCTACTGTCTGTTTCTGTGATAACGGGTGTTGGGTTGCTCTGATTTTATCAATGAGATAGGGTATTTTCTGTCTCTTTAGATTCAGCTAAATTAGACAACCCTGGCCCTCCAGAGAAAATAAAATATCTTTATTCCCAAAGGACATAATTCTACTATAACATTCAGGGGAGAAAAAAAAATAAATAACCAAAAAATATATACACAGAAACCCTCTCACCTGAGCTGTTTCATTGTTCAGCAATCCAATCGGCTTCTCTTCATTTTGCACTTTTCTCCATGTTGCACAGGACTCAGCACTTCTCTCATTGCGGACATTTTTGTCTGTTAATCTTTTTTGCATCTGATTGGCTTGTTTCATTGTATCTTTCAGCAAATTAACCTGTTGATACAGCATAATTAAATAAATAATAAAAATTCTAGACACATTCCTTTTTTATAAATGCATTCCTTTTTTTCTAATGCATTTTTCTAATGCACTTTTTAAAGTGCATCAATTCAGATTATTGACCAAAATTTACTAAGTCTCAAAAATATATATTAATAAAGAGGAAACCAACAAACAGATGTTTCAGAAAAATATAGATGGCAAGATCCAGACCTTTTCTCATCAATTGGACAAAACCAATTAAAATTAGTGTCATTGTTACACATGCTCTAAAAATGATCTCTACAGAAAATCTGCTTATTGAAAACATTATTTTAACTGATAATTCACATCTTAAAACTGCATATGAATTTATTATTAAACTATGCTGGGAGTAGATCCAGTATTATATTTTAAGTTTAAATTCTTTTTTTTTAATTCTTATTAATTAGAATCCTAGTTGTCTGTCATTAAAGTGAGCTTAATATGAATGATAAAAGAAGCTTGTTATATTGCTTTTTATTTTTATGCAGGTAATTTAACCTTTGAGCAGATGAACAACAGTTCATATCACCAATCCAGTGTACTAGTATCAGAGGTTAAGTTCTAAACAAAGCCTGCTGTCTCTAAAGTTTCTTTTTCACACCATGTGTTATCTGGGAGATGACTGACTTTTCAATAACCTTGAAGTCAACACAGAAATGGAAGGTCAAATCCTGCCATATAGTTGGAAGATTGAAAGCTACAGTGAAGATCCTTATGTGAAGTATTTGTTCAGTAGCTTCATGTTTACATCAGCTGAAAGTCCCATCACCTTTTTTTTCATGAGTTAAATAAGGGGGCAGAAGATACGAACAGTACAAGGGAAAATAATGGAGTATCCAGTGCCAACATAGAGAATGAATAACATTAGCTGGGCAAGCAGTCTTAATTTGTACTCTCTTGATTTTTAGCTTCCACTGCCAAGTGTGTTCCCTTTAAAATATACTGGTGTTTTGTAGCAAGGTCTAAGTAGTCAAAACACCATTTTTATTCTCCCATCCTCCCAGATTCCAGCTTCTTAAATGATAGCAAGGTTATTGCCTATAAGTGACTTGATAATCAGAATTACCTGAAGGAGACGTGACTGGGGCCTGCTCGAGGCAATCTATGAACAACAGGAAGACAGTGAATCACTCAGGGATTAATTCCATATTCTCATCTCTCAAACTATTGGGAAAATTCATGTTTAACTACCACTACCTTTTGAGCCACTCTTCCACTGAAGTCTCCTTTTATTTGTTTTGGAGGGTCACCCCTGGTGATATCTGGGTTTACTCCTGGTTCTGCATTCAATAACCATTCCTGCAGGGCTCAGGGTGGTACCAGAGACCAAACCCAGGTTGTATGTATGCACGGCAAGCATCTAACCACTGTAATATCTCTTGGCCCTGAAGTCTTCTTGATAATAAATGTTCATCATAACTGTAGCATGAAACAAAAGGTTTCCCAAGGCTGGTGAACAATTTTTATCCTAAAAAAATGGGTTGGCCATTCATTACAAAAATGCAGTATGGTATAAATGATTGTATGAAAGACTTAGTTTTCTCATGCCTCCTCTATTCTGGGTACTTCAGGTATAACAGCTTTGGGGAGCCTGTGACATACAAATAAAACATGTTCTGATGTATTATTCAGTCCTCTAAAGCTTCCTGTAAGGGAAGATGCTGCTGGATCTGGTTATCAATTGGTGGGGTGTTTAGTTGTCCTGTCATAGACTACCAGCTAGTAAAATTATATCCAAAATAAGGAAATTGATATTTCTAAGAAAACTTTTTAAAAGGTAAGAGTAAAGAATAATGAATAAGTTTAAGCTGAAGAGAGTAAAATTTTTCTTGAAGATAAAAAGATACAGAAAACACACTGTAATTCCACATAACTAAATTGAAGGTGACTACACAAATGTATCATTCCCAAGAAAGCAGATACTTGTAATTTTTCCACCATCTTTATTTTTTTATTTTATTATTATTATTATATTATTATTATTATTATTTGCTTTTTGGGTCATACCAGCAATGCACAGGGGTTACTCTTAGCTCTGCACTCAGGAATTACTCCTGGCAGTGCTCAGGAGACCATATGGGATGCTGGGAATCGAACCTGGGTCAGCCGCATGCAAGGTAAATGCCCTACCCACTGAGCTATTGCTCCAGCCCCCCCCATTGTCTTTATTATACTATGCAATTAGGAATACTTATGGACTTTTCTTAAATGTGAAAATCTGTTTGATACAATTATTTTGAGAATTAAAGCCCCCAAAATTGTATGCTTTTAAGCTCACTACAAAAATTACTACTATTGGAAATAATATACTCACCTCTGGATTTGCTAACATAACCTCAAAACATGATGAATGAAGTAACAAACATTTATTATTTGAAATACAGGATAATATGAACATTTTAGCTCTTACATAACTACTTTTCTGTCTAAGTAAAACATTTAGGAACATGGGTGGAGGTGGTTCATTATCCTGGGTAGATAAACTATTAAAATCATAATTCACAGGCATCATAATATGGACAAAAGATATTAATCAAATGATGTATTATAAAGCTTATTCCAGAGATTAATTCAATGTACAGGTCAATACACAACCAATAAGTTGGTTTCAGCATTCTTATCTGAAGTTTAGTTCATTTCAATAAATATTCTTATTAAAATATGGTTTCTTTCACTGAACTTTGGATCTTAAATCTCAGTTGATGACACAGTAGACTGTAGTAGCCTTAACTATACATTCCTTTAATTTTACAGTGCTACCTAGGAGCCATCAAGAATTGTCAAACAAACAAACACTGTCCTCCCATTGTTCATCGATTTGCTCAAGTGGGCCCAGTAACGTCTCCATTTTTGAGACTTGTTACTGTGTTTGGCATATTGAATACATCATGAGGAGCTTGCCAGGCTTTTGCTGTGAGGGAGAGATACTCTCAGTAGCTTGCCGGGCTCTCCGAGAGGGTCAGAGGAATAGAACCTGGCATGGTTGGGCTGGCTGCGTACAAGGCAAATGCTCTACCGCTGTGCTATCGCTCCATCAAGAATTACTACAGAGTAATTTCAACTATATTTTCATCATTTTAATCTAGCAATTTTAGGGAAAAAAGTTTTTTTTAAAAAAAAATTTTTCTTTTCCACTGTGGTCTCTATTATCTTATTTTTAATTGAGGCATGATGATCTACAGTTATTCATGATTGAATTTCAGTCAGGCAATGTTTCAACATCAATTCTTTTACCACTTTTCATTTCCATGAGTGTCTCCAGAAGTTTCTTCCCATCTCCCAGCCTGCCTCTATGGCAGACATATTTCCCCGTCTAGTCACTGGGGTTTACAGTACTGCTACTGATAAGAGTTTCATGCATAACAACACTGTACCACCCTACCTCAACCTCCCCTTCTTCATTCTGAGTGACCACTTCCCTCCACCACTGTCATCTGTCATAGTATTCCATACCATGTCCTATCTCCCCACTCCCTGTGTCCAGTCTCCACTGTCTTGACAAGGATACCTTTTAGTGTCATATTGTTACATGGCTTCCATGGTTCTGTTTACAGGGAGCAATTTATGATGTCAATATCAAATTTAAAAGTTATAGCACACATACTGAGAAAAGCAACATTAAAAAAATTGAACATTCACAATTTTATTTTGAATGTGAATCACAGAAAAAGTTTACATATTTTACTTAAGTAAAATTCTTGTTCTATTGGCTACTTTTTAAGTATTGTTATTCCATATTACAAGTACAGAGGTTCATCTAGTTAAATAACTACAGTGGCTACAAGAATAGTCTCAAGAAATATTTTTAGTTACATATAAGGAGAGCCTCCAATGTGACTAAAAATAAAAGTTTGTGGCCACATTATTGATATTCATTCTAGACTTCAAGTGATTTCTGTTTTAGAAGCAATCAATTGTGGAAACTATCCATACTTGTATCATTCCGGAAAACTGAATTTAGTAGAGTACTTTCAATTTTGTTTTTTGCAACATTACAAAATTGGTAAATTTTAAAATAAAAAGCTAAAATAGTTAAGATTTAAACTACATAAAGTAATCTACCTCTTAGATTTTAGTAAATATACATATGCATTTAAAAAACTAGAGAAAATCATTAGTCAGTAAATCTTACTTTCTGTGAAATACAATCATAAATCATCTTACTGTCTATATACTAAGGCTGATTAATAGAAATTAACTAAAGCCTTAAAATGCCCATTAGTCTTGGTTGTGTTTTTACTCATAATCAAAGTGCTTTAATCACAAGGAAAGAATAAAATATTTCTGATGGCAGCTCATTAGAAAAAAAAATGTTTTATGTTCTATTCTCTGCATATAAAAATAGTTTCACAACAAGTCACATCCTTTGAATTTGATGAAACTGAAAATTCTGGTGGATAATAATTAGAATTTTATATCAGAGAATATAGCTATCTGCTTCAAAATGGTTTCTTTTATATTTCAATTAAGTTTATGAAACTGAAAAACTACCAAAAAGGGGGAGGGAGGATCTACTTAAATTAGTGTAGATTAAGTGGTGACCATTATTGCAAGGGAAATACTATGTCAAGGAAATGTCTCTTTGTTTTGTTGCAAAAGTGATAAAAACACAAAAGTCAATAAAACTGTTAAAATAAGTCTTCGTAATTACCAAGATCAAAATCCAGTGGCTTTTTATTAAACATGAACTTTTGTTCTGCCTTCTGCAATACGTAAATAGTGCTGACAATTGGTTTGTGAGGCACTTGCTACAATAAAATGTAATTGTATCATGAGAGAAAGGTGACAATCAGGAGATCATGAAAAAATTACATATTCTCACTGGTAGTTAATTAGCCATGCAAAACCTCCTCAAACAGATATTCTCTTCTATTAGGAATGATTACTATGCAGGCCTACAGATGTCAATACCACAGTCATTCAAATACTTCTTTCCCTACTAATTGAAGGTTGTAAAGCTCTGGTGCCAAGGCTTTGCTTCCAAAGAGCTAATTTATGACTAGAAGGATATTTTATGTCTTCAGTTGCAGCAGCTACAAAATTCAGCAAATCAGAACCATCTGTGCGCTGATACTTGACTCACCATTCATCTAGCAGCCTATCAGTCACATTAGTTTGCATCCTGCACTTTTGGCTCATGAACACTTGTGATGATCCAAAGTTCATAAGAAATATTAAAAATGAGTGGCATACTGACCCTAAGTTACTGTACACACATCAAGAGAAAAAGCCCTCTGTGCTCTAGTTTTACATATGGTTAGTTAAAGGAAGACATGGACACATAGTTGCCACCCTAGTTACAATGCCTGCTTGCAGTAGTCTGAAGTTCCACCCCATTCTTAAAATGTATTTTAAATTCTGTTTATTTAAGTTGGTATGTGGGAGTCAACTGGTGAAAGCAGAGAAGCTGTAAATTTTAAAAAAGAATAACTTTTTAAAAACAGTTTCTACAGATATAAATATATTAGTACATACAAATAATCTGGTTAAATCCAAGAATAGTATTACTGTCACCAAATTATGACCTCATAAAGCCATATTAAACTTTAATCTTACCCAAGGTGTAAGCTTAAGACATCAGTGCATATTTATTTCTTTAGTAGTGTGCAATAGACCACAAATCTCACTCTAAGAGATAATGAGCAAAATTAACTTTCTCTAAGAGACAATGGGTTAAAAGAACTTCCAATAAATTCCTTATTGCTAGTTATGGAAATCGGAATTGAATATAAGAAAACAGACTGCCTGACTTATTTTGGAACTTAAAACTCTTCAATCATGAGAAAAATCTTCACAGAAAGTGATCCTAGGGCCTTAAACACTACAATACTTACTTGTTGGTTTCTTGGAGTATGCACATGTACACGCTCTTCTTTAGTGGAAAAGTCCAGTGGTCCTAAAGATATTCCACCAGGGTTTAGAATTTTCTTGAGCATCCGATAGTTTGGCTTCTCATCATATGCTAAACTATGAGCACAGGCTAAATATTCGGCTATTTCACCTGTGAAATATTAAATGTTTTGTCATTCAGCTTAGCAAGAATTGTCAAGACACCAATAGCCTCAGAATCTCTGTTTTTTCTCTCTAAACACACACGAGTACTAGCACACATACCAATCTCTACCTGCTGTACTATCAGTCTAGACCCTATAATGCAAGAAATGTATGTGCAACCACAGATACACAAGTATATAAAATAGACAAATGAAACATTTACAATAGTAATCCATACCAACACTTATCCTAAAACACATTTAAAAAATAGTTTTGCAACTTTTACATTCAATTATGTGACCCATATGGAATCACAAACTATAATTAAAAAATTTAGAATTTAGACTCTATCACTTTATAGTAAACCCGATTTAAATCAAAAGGGAAAAAGTTGGTAGCATTTATATTTTCTCTTGTAAATTATTCCTTAGAACAATATACCAACTCATTTCCCACACTCCCAATAAAGTTATGAACTACAAACTAAGCACAAGGAAAATTAGTAACCAACAGTTACACAACCACAAATTCAATTAAAATGAATGTTAGTTTGCATTTTTGTTTCAGGTGGAAGTTGAATCTGAAACTGATATAAGTAAATGGTAACAGTATTTATTGTTTAAAAACTGATAGGTTTTCATTTGTTCACAAAGGAGTGTTGATATCACAAAACCTAATTTTTCAGTTCTTTCTCCTTCAAAAACATAAGTATCACTGACCCAGACAAAAATATTTCTTATTTTCTCACTAAGTTGTTTCTATCCCTTGGCTGGAAAATCTGGGAAACTTCCTGAGTTGGCAGGAGTCACTTCCTAAGCCTTCACTTCCCTTTCATTCAAGTGGCGAATTAGAGAAATAGTGGGTTTCACTACCTATGGGAATTAATTCCAACAGGACTAGTCATCATCATCTCTCTGCCCTTAGGAAAGGCAGAATGTAACCACTTTGCTCCACACTGTGCGTGGCTATATTGTAGGAATTCATGAGCCTTTTGTGGTAGGAAGGAAAACTCTCAGCTCTGGATTTTGGATTCTGTGAAAATGATGCAGCCTACTTTTTCCTCTATAGTGTGTAAGACAAATGCAATTCTCTTAACTAGTATTTGATCAACCACATTACTATTAACGAGCCAGTAGTATCACAGCCTCATCACCATATTTATAACTGATGATTTCAAGAGCCCTTTGGGGCATCCAATTACTAAAGGAACAATCAAAAAGAAAAAAGATTAAATTATATTTACTATCATTTTCAATAAATATTCTGTTGTTCTTTAGCCCTTTCAAGAAGAGTAAACTAAGTTTGGTATATGCCACAATTCTATTATACAAAATATCCCAAATGAAGAAGAGAGTTGAATATTGGGAACATTTTCCACAAATCACTATTAGAAGACAATAGAATACTCCTGGCAGTTCCCCAACTGATGGCAGCTGTGCTGAAAAGTCTCCATGGGTCTGGGGTTGAAAAAAACGAAGTACAAGTGAGGTAGATAAGGGTGAAAAATAAAAGAGCAACTGCCTTTATAAACTGATTATTATATATCAGAAACTAAAGTAGTATGTAACTGAAATTGAATAAATACCGGCTTAAAATCAGCTTTTCAAGATAGATTGATTAAATACATGCTTTATTTACTAACATCAGTGCTATAAAACAAAATTATTTGATTAGTATGAAGTTATTATAATATTGAATCATCTGATTTGTAAACTAGGGTAACACTGAGTAACATAGCTATTGCTTCGTGAGACAGAAACCTTTAAACTATTATTATTACACTGAATTGGAAATGTATGCAGCAAACCTTGAGGGTATTTTATTACACAACATATCTTACTAATAAACCTTCTGAAAAGTGGTTTAATTTTTTTATTGAAAAATCCACTGTATGTCTACTATGACTTGGAACTGTCAGTTAATATTAAATTTCAATATACTGTGCTTTAAAACACAAATCTACATTTAATGAAATTATAATAATATAGCTTCTCAACCTATTTCCAACTGTAGCCCCCTTCGAAGCTTTCTTTTTGTGACTCCTGTTCTACCAGTTGGGACCTAGGCACATGTCATGGCACTCCATTTGCACAATTTTCACCTGTGGTCCCCTTGGAACAAGTGGTTGGACCATAGGGTATTGTAACATGCAGCACCAGCTGAAAAATACCGGTGTAGACCAATTAGGTTTTACTGTAAACCCAGAGCTCCTCATTTCTCCCATGATTTAAACCCTTTAATCTCTAGTAAAAGAAGCATCATGAAATATACTGTAGCCCACGAGCATTTTTCTTCGTATGGAGCATTGTGCTTTCTTTCCTACTTCTAAACTGAACTGCAATCTTTTATTTACTATTTTTAAAAGGATATTCTCTCTCTCCCTCTCTCTTTCCCTCTCTCTTTTTCTCGCTCTCTGCCCCCCCCCACCCCCGCACCCACATTTCCCCTTCCCTTCACTGTCCTATTAAGAACATAAACTGTTGATTTGGTAAAAATGAGACCAAGATTTTAGTGTTAATACGGAAGTGAAAACCTGTATTCCTCTAGTCCATTCTCATCCCCTAAATGAGAATAACCTGCTCTTTGTTCCCTCCATCAGAAGGAAAGGAACTACAGAAAGTGGGTCAGCAAAAAAAACAGTCCTAAGTCACTGAAACAGACTTAGGAAACCTGGGAAATGGAGGTAAGAAAGTAAAACTGGTTTTCTCCTGTTTGTTTAATTCCTATGAAAACAAAACTTTCAACTCCTTATGAGAGCCATGATATAAATTTAAGATGACTTAAGTTTACTTTCCAACTCTCATATGGAAACTCATACTATTCAGCCTTAGCCAAAGCATCAGTATATCTTTCTACTCTAATAAGTAAATAGCTAAAAGCTAATTTTAAGAATGTACAATATAAATAGCATACAAGATCACTGTGCTTATGTGTCTCTGAGACAAATCTGGTAGCAGGAGAGAACCTCTACTATAAGACAATCAAATTCAGTTATATTAGTGCTAGACAATGTACCTGCATGCATATGCACATGATGAATTTGGGTAATTTCAAAGCAACTTACTATTTATAGCAGTAATGCTGTAAAAGAATTCCATAACACTCTACACTAAGTTGAAAGAAACCCATTTAATTAAATATATATCTAATCTCCAATAGGCCTTGCCAAAGAATATTTTTGCTGACTGTTGATAATATAATTCACATCTAAATAGCATCCAAGCACTAAAAATTTTGTTTGTTTTTCCATTTCTGATTGAAAGTAGTCTTTCTTAGACCAACTATCTTCTTTCAGTAATATACAGAAAAACAAAGTCAACTCTGGAAATATTTGATATTTAAGTCTGTTACATACTCAAGGAATATGTATATTCTGAAGAATACAGTCAGTGAGGACCAGGGAAATAGTTAAATTAAGGCCCTCAGGTTGATGCTTGGCACCAAATGGCCCAGGAAATACCCCCAAGTACCTCCAGAGTAGAAGTCTACCAAGCCTAAGCACTAAACTAACAGAGCAGCACAGTTGAGTCAAATGCAGCCATAGTATTCCTCTCTGCCCCAACTCAGCCAGAATGCTGCCTAAATATTTCCTTTTAGTGTCATGTTTTCTAAATTTCAAGTAAGATCTAATCATCTTTTCTAGCAATAAGTTGGTCAGAGGCCCCAAATAATTTTTCCTCCCACTCCTGTGGCATAGTAAAGGTTGGGTTAGAAACCCAAAAGAGTGACAAATGTGTTAGTAAATCATAAATTAGAATTATCTTTGACTTACAGCAACTGCTTCCAGAAGGAGCCCATTTAAGCACTGAATCAGGTAGTTCATCCAAAAGACTAAAACAAAAACGAGTAAAGTACACAGTGAATTTGTTTTAATCTGGTAACTATTTTAATTACAAGAGAATAAAAAAAAAATATGTTGCCGAATCATCAACAACATGATTTTCAATGCTTTTTTTAACCTACCTTTAACTGGATAGAGGGTAAGTGGAAGTAAGGGAGGGTCCCTCAATTCTTATTGACCAATATATATTAATACCTAGAAACTAAATCATGAATAATTAAAGAATAAGGGATTTAATTCAAAGTTTATACATGGAGAAATATCAGAAACAGAAATATATAACAGGTATACATCTTAAATATAATAAAAAATCATAGAAAAAACTATGATTTTTCTGTGTATTTTTTTTAATTATTATTATTCTCTATTGGATTGTTTTTATTTTTTGTTTTTGTTTTCCAGCTTGGGGGCCACACCCAGAAATGTTCTGTGGTTATTCCTGGCTCTACACTCAGTGATCACTTGAACACTCTTGGAGGTGCTCAGGGGGACCAGTGGATGTCAGCGATCAAATCCAGATTGGCTACATGCAAGGAAAGCACTCTACCCACTGTATTTATTTCCAGCCCTCACTATTAGAAAGTTTTTTATAATGAACTGGAATTTAAAAAGTTAGCAAGAAATACCCAAAAACAAAATAACTTTTCAAATACTTTTCAATATTTTAGATGAGACAAGTATACAATTATCTTCTTTCAGTCACAAACATGTACACATTTAACTGAAATTACTGATAATGACTGCCTGATTTACAAACTCAGGCAGAACTGCAATAATAAATATGCTGATCTTATATCATACTGTGTCAGGAAAATAAAGGGCATAAAGGATGGTATAGTATTATGGCTGCATGTGCAAGCATGTCCTTATGGAAAAATTCAGTGTTATGCTATCTCAGCAAATTGAATAAATTATGATTATGTACTATATGCTATAAGAAGTTTGAAAATGTGTTTAATTTAAATTATAAACTTCAGAATATGTTCTAAGCATTATAGACCTACAGGTTTATATTATGAGTCAAACGAGATGAATATATTAACATATGTAAGGGTTCTCATAATGTAAACATAGGTTATGCTTATAAGTATTATATATTTTTTAAATTCCCCTATTCTTATATTTAAATACACATATATAGTTACAATCACTATAGTTACATGCAGTGAAAGCATCTCTACATACATACATATTGACAATACTAAAACAAATTATGTCTTAAAAACATATCATCATTATAATTAAGATACTAATTATACTATTCAAAATTAGGTAAACTGAGTTAGAAAATTGGATACCAAGGGGGGTATATATATATATACTCATTACTAAACTTTTCTTTGACCCACCTACATACTGAAAAACACATTCCATTAGGGTTACTATGGATATACCAGATACTATAGTTATTTAACTGTTTATATCTATCTATATATATATAGATATATATTTGTTATCTGTGGGAAAGGGAGTAGGATAATCGTGATTCTAATATGTGCCAGTATTTACATAAAAAATTATTCTGAGTCTGTAGCATAGTCTTTCTATAGTAAGAGCTGACATTACACTGAATTAGAAGACTGAGTCTGTGAATCAGCTTCCCCTTCAATAAACTTCTTGTGATTTGTTCCACTTAAAACATAGTTCCCTTTTTAATTGCAATTATAAAGTCTCTGGAGTACTGTTGAGCATGCCTTGGTATCTAACAAAAAATTGCTATTCTGTGCTATATACAATTGACTTTTTTTTTTAAGTCTGGTCAGTAAGAAAAGAGTAAAATACTGATACATTCTGTTCTTAGTCTAATCTAATTCTTTTGCTAACAGATTTTAGGTGACAAAAGTTAAGTGAAGAATTTTAAAAATTTTTGTGGCTACAATATTGTTTTATATAAATGACCACATATTTTTCCTATGTTCTGTTTTTTCCTAAAAAGCATAGCATATTGCCTCCAAGACACCAGATTAAGAAAGAGACATGCTACTCTCACTAATAATACATAAGTTTTATTTGTCCATTCCCCCTTATTGCTTTGCAGTTAATATCAATCACATTAAACTTAGACCACTTCCACATATTTTTAAAATGCTAATATAAAAATTTGACAACATAAAACCTTAATTTTAGAAAACAACATGTAAAGAAACAAGTATTTTAATTCACACTGTGTACTGCAACTTGTGAACATATGATTTCATATGTGCTATTTTAATGAATTTTATGTCTGTTAACTGCATAGTTTTTAAAAAGATATTTTTCAAATTAAAGGAATTTGCTTTGCTATCAAATGAGGATGGTAATCTCTGCTATTAGCTCATTTATTATTATCCCTTAAGATCTATTGCAGTATATGATAGAATATTTGAAACTCTACTTTGTTTTAGCAGTCTGCACAGCCATAGGGTCCTTCAGGTTCCGTTCCCAAGGCAGTTTCCCACAGAACCAACGCAGCAGGCAGTAGCCAAGGATTTCAAGGTCACTACGTCTGGACAGGGCTATAGGAGAAAGCATTAAGGGGAAAAAAAGATGAGGAATAAGCAAATTTTGAGAAATTGAAATTTTTGAATGAACTATTATTGATGAAATATGAAAAAAACCAAACGGGTAGTGTGTTTTGTTTGTTCAGCTGGAATAAAACTTAAATCGCCCAGGATTTGGCCCCAGTCCACAGACAGGTAATGACTTGTTGCTGTTGAAAGCAAGGGTCAATCTTTTCACCTCCTCCAACTTCATCCTTCCTTAGTCTGGCCTGTCACATGAACTTGATCTCCATGGCCTCTGACATGATCCAGACAACCCATAACCTGGCACCAACACTTTCTCAAAGAGCCAGGCAGTAAAACAAAGAAATAAATGTCTGCAGCTAAATTGCTAACATATGTTCCAGGAAGTCCATGGGGTCTGTATTGGTCATGCAGAGAGCCTTTGAGTGCAGACTAAACATTGATGGCCTTTCCTGTTCCACTAACACTAGTAGCATTAGCGCAATATGTGAAATTGGAAGAATATGACAAAACTGCCATCTAGTGTGCAGTATTAAAACCAGGTCTCTCTCAAGATTTTTCAATTACATGGATGTACAAAATAATATAAACCTACTCTGGGGGAGCTTACAACATGTCTAAAGTTTTACGAACACTATTTTCAGATATATAAGCAATAAAAACAAAATTGAAATTATAGTCCTACATTCTGATAAAAAAAAATAAAGGTAAAGGTTACAGGGGCAGAAATAAGGAAGGTCTAGGTATTGCAGCCAGTAGCTTTGCTACAATTTATTTGTAATTTTATTTTTAAATGCCCTATTTTCAATAATGGAAAATAAAAATCTAAGAAACATGTCAAATATAACTAAAACTTACTAACAAATCACTAAAAATAAGAATTAGATATTAGTAAAGCCCCCAAACAAATTCATTTTATAACTATTCTAAATTATAAAACCATAGGTAGTCATTTTAAATTTCTACCATTATTTGAAAGTTCATCTATAAAGGGATGTATAATCTCCTAAATGCAATATGTGACTATTAAATCTGCTATAAACAGAAACTTATTTTATTGTCTTACATTAAATAAACTCTGAAAAGTCAATAAGTAAACTTAGTTTTTAATTTAAAAAGTCATCTACTAAGAACAATGCTGCTAACACATCATAGCAACATTTGGTTTCCATATATGTTATTATAAAAGAAGACAAGATTAGTTCTTGCACATACCCTATCTTAACAGCTATTAGAGTATTGGAGTATTAAAGACTTCAATCTAGCACAATGCTAGAGTCCCATGGGTGCCATTTACTTTCTGCACAAGCTTGAACAATGTCCTAATGCAAGACTTGGCTCTCCTATTAAAAGAAAAAAACACAATCTCTACCACACTATTGCGTAGTAATTTTTTTTTCAGTAATAAATCTCCCATTAATAATGGAATGGTTCCATTTGTACAGATGTGTTCACAAGTCCCCTTTCCATTAAAGCAATTCCTATTACCATTACTTTTAAAAATTCACATCCTCTAATTTTTGAAAAATGAAATTTTGGCACCTGTTTGGACAACACAGGCTATATATAAGAGGACTGTCAAGAAAAAATAATCAGAATTAAGACAAAATAACTCATCCCATCTCTATGCACAACCCTTCAACTGAAGAACTGACAAAAAGCTGTACGACAAATAATTTAGATTTCTGAAGCCAATCATTCATAAACTGATCTTCATATAAAATAACCCTTGGCGACTTCACTTTTCTTCACTATTATAGCTTTTCTTACCTAATTAAAATACATTAGCTTTTAAATTACTTATTTTCTTTCACTATACATTAATAACTACAGTTAGGTATACATTTCAGCTACAGATTCAACTGAGTTCTATAGATAAAATATTTTTAAAAATCATAAAAACTATAGTCATTTTTTCCGCCATTACTTAGATAAAAGTATTAAAAATTCTTCTAAGAAGTCAATTTTACTAGAAATTTCCTTCCAGAGAACAAATGGAAAAATTTAATGTATTTTAGTAAGAAAATCTTGGACTCTATCAATGATTATATTTTATTTCCATCATCCAAACAAAGTGAAATTTTAAGAATTGCTTAATTAACTAAAAATATTCTAGCTCATAATAGCATATATGTTTATGTATAATTAACACAAAGAATTAGCCATATCTTTCACTGACTTGAAAACACATCATCAAAATATAGGTGCTAAAAATGGAAATAATTGTTAAATCTGAAAATTAAATGTTTTTATTTACTACATATTTTTCTTTGTCATTTCCTCTATATTTGAAAAATAAAGTGCTGAAAAAATAAAAATCAACCATAATTGAAAAGGATTTTTATCTGTCTTACCCTATCATGTATGGCTAAAAACCAGATCCCTATAATCTCTTATCATCTGAAACTTGAAATATATTGATTATAATTTATCATAATGCATGAAGTTCCTTAATTATATTTAATAAATAGCATAATTATATTTTTATGTCAACTTCTTAGAGTACCAAATTTCACTAATAATTTTACTGTGCATAAATTTAGTATTTAGTTATTATTAATACTTTTGCTCAAACACTCCAAAGTTAGTTTCTAAATATAAATTAGAATCTGATTTTTTTCAATTTATTAATATGGAACAATGTAAATGGATCTTGAAAGCTTGAAAAGCTTTTAACCACACAATGCTGCTAAGTTATGAACTATCGCCAAGAGTAAACAACAAGAAAAATGCTTAGTGTGACTTTTTCCCCATTTTCGGGGGTTGGGGGTGGAGTTATTGGGTCATATCCAGCAGCCCTCAGTGCATACTCCTGGCTAGTTGCTCAGGGATTATACCTGGCAGTGGTTGGGATCATATATGATGCTGAGATCAAACGGGGGTGGCTGGCATAAAAGGCACTTGCAGATTCCTGAAAAGCCGACACTACAAAAGCATACAAAAATAAAACAATGTGATTTCGGAGCCAAAGTGAGGGTAGAGTGGGTAGGCAGTTTGCTTTGTATGCAAGGAACCCAAGTTTGATCCCCAATATCACATGTCCCCAGGAATGATCCCCTAGCATATAGCCAGGGGTAAACCATGACCACCACCAGATGTGGACCCTTCCCACCAAAAAAATCGTGATTTTATAGAGCTACAATTATGCTAGACACTCTCTTTTATATGATCATATTTAATGGTTATCATTAAAATACGAGAATTATTACCAATGTTGAATACAGCTGCAGAAAGTTTGAAGAACTTGCTCTATAATATAGAGCAAAAATCAACAAAATCTCAGGGTTGAAATCCAGATCTGTCAGAATCCAAAGCCCATACTGAACTTAAAAATCATTTTACCTCAATGGGCTGGAGCTATAGCACAGTGGGTAGGGTGGTTGCCTTGCACGCAGCCGACCTGGGTTCAATTGCTCCGTCCCTCTCATAGAGCCTGGCAAGCTACCAAGAGTAAACTGCCCACATGGCAGAGCCTAGCAAGCTCCCTGTGGCGTATTCAACATGCCCAAAACAACAACAAGTCTCACAATGGAGCCTTTACTGGTGCCCACTTAAGCAAATCAATGAACAACGGGAGGACAGTGTTACAGTGCTTTACCTCAACACTGTTAGTTTTAACAGCATTCAAATAACATCCATTATATTTACTACTATATCATATATGGTATTATATATATATATATATATTGAGCAAAGTCTTATAGGTAGGCATTTTAACTTAAAACACCAAAGAATGCACTGAGGCAAAAACAGTTGTTTTGGCAAAGAAGAAACAAGCAGAAGATTCTAAGTTCTAAGCTGCAGCACTAGTAACATTTTCTATGTGTCTTTAGTTTCAAAAACGATTTCTTCCAAATATTTCACTCTGGTGAAGAGCAGTTTCTGTTATGCATTAAAACATTTAATATACAGGAGAAAGAGAGTAGCTCAAGACTGATCACATTCCTTGCATGAAAGAAGCCCAGGCTCCACCTCCAGCCCCTGTACTACATTGTTCTCCAAGAGTATGGAAGAATTCCTGTGATTAGTTCTTGTGTGTCTCTGGATAAGACCCCAAAACCAAACCTACACAAACAAACAAAAATTAATATATAAAAAGTGTTAAATAGCCCTTCCAAGCTGGAATGCATTGTCTGGATTTTATTCATCAAATGATATCATAGAGGACTTGAGATCATGTGTAATTGTTAATTGGAAACAGATATGATTATTTGTCTATAGTGTTTTCAGTTTAGGTTATGAAAAAAACAGGGCTTGGGACAGATAAACTTGAAAACATGTCTAAAGCACATATAATTTAATTGTTCAAAGTTTTTATAAGCCCAGAAATTAAAATAAAAAGCAGAAAACATCAGAATGGGACACTCACCTGGAAAAGTGGTGGAAACTACCTACAGAGCAAATTTTAAATTTGTTCTTTTATTTCTAAAGGGAGAAGGCTTGGGGATCATACCTGACTGGCTTTGTGCTCAATAGTCACTTCTAGTGGTACTTAGGCAACCATATGTGGGGCCAGGGATGGAACCAAGATTGGAAATTGCAAGGCAATCATCTTACATCCTTTGTACTGTTCCTGTGTACCTATACATTATTCTTATGCTTTGAACTAACAACCTATTTCATTAATTTTATCAATTCAGATGTATAACTAGAAAATGTTACGGTGGTGGCAACCCATTGTAATTGAAAGTAGAATGCACCATGTCTTACTTTAAATAAAATACTGGACTTAGGTTTTCTTTTGTTGTTGTTGTTTGCTTGCTTGCTTGGTTCTGGGCCACACCTGTAGTGCTCAGGGCTTACTCCTGACTCTGTGCACATAGATCATTACTGATGGTGCTCAGGGGGGGTCCATGTGGGATGCCAGGAATCAAACCCGTGTCAGCCATATACAAGACAAACACCATCCCCAGAGTTCTCTCTCTGTACTCTTAAGTTTCCTTTTCTAAAGTACATTTTAAAATTTAAATTCAAGCTTTAGGTTTTGTACAAAACTTCTGTGTAAGGCTTAAGTGGTAAAAAAATCATTAAACAAGGCAAAAGTATCTTACACTTGGGGTACGTATCTTTTTAACCCAATCAAATTATTTCAAAAGCATGTTGAAACTTTAAAAGTTATATCTAATGTCAAAAATCAGGTTATCCATATAGAAAGAATTGTGTCCCATTATTATTTAATTATACATGACTTCTTATAGCAGCCAAGTAGATCTAAAAATATCAACAGTATGTTTTTATGAAATACTAATAGATTCAACAGTTAATCGGTAACTTCAAGGTTTACCTCGGTATCTTACCACAACTGATGAATAGGTTCCCTTTTTAAATTGCTGTGTAATAAAACGAATATTGTATAAACCATGTCACTTCCCAAGTTTTATAGTATGAAATATAATCTCAACTTATTTCATATATATTCTGTAAGTTGAAGTGCTATGTCAGAGCAAAATGAAGTCATGCAAGAAATAGAAATAACATGACTTGAATTTCATATACTGGAGCAATGTCAAACATAAAAAATGCAGTATATCTCAATACTGAATATATTTCATAAACAAATGAACATTTAAAATGCAATTAAAATATATTTTATGGTCATCAATGATATCAAATTAAAACAGGTATTATACACTCAATGCACAGGTTTAAAGTATTTTAAAAAGCTCAATATGTTAAACGCAGTATATCTCTAGAGAAATTAGGTATTGACTGCATGCCTCAGTGAGTAGAAAAATCTACAAAAATCCATACTACACATTGATCCAAAGATTGCTTTTTAGCATTACTAAGAATGTAACAAATTTTAAAATAGTATATTTGACACAGATATAATTCTCATTAATTATCAGTCAACCAAGCCAAAAATATGTCAATGTTCATACATGTTAGTTTTTATGAAGAATAAAAATTAGCCCTAGAAGAAATAAACCGAACGGGTATCACTCTAATTTTACACTAAATGAAGCACTTCAGTCACTCAGAAAATACCTTTAGGTAACTTAAGAGAATTGACTTTGGAAGAATAATTGCAATTCTCAAAAAAATGCAAATATATATATATGTATATATAAAACAGTTCCAAGAATAGTTATCTATCTAGTCAACCATCTGTGCACCTATCCATCCATCTCTCTATACAGTTATTCATATTTAGCTACTTTCCTGTTAAATTAAATTGAATTTGAAAATTCTTAGGTTAAACTGTTGATTGGAACATAATGAAAGATATTTTATCATTAAAAAACTCAACTAATCCACAGGAAAGTGAAAATCACCTTTGGTTTCTGAAAAAGCACTACAAAAAAGTAACTGAAAAATCTGATCAGCTAGTCTAATCAGTTAACAGTCTATGTTACGTAGTTAATTAGAATGCCAGTTTTATATTAAAGTCTGAATATTTCTCTGTATCTGACCAAACACTGATAATTTAACAACTAGAGGTTCTATCCTACTTATCCTACTTTGTCTTCCTTTGCATTATCTTTCTCAAAATCTTTCTCTGTATTTGATCTCATAGCTAGATTGCTATAGAAAAGATTTTTCTGATATTAAACTATATAGTGATGGTATTAAAAGTCAGCACATGAACATTTATGAATCTGACCTTCTGCATTTACCCACAGGATTTATAACCCTGTTTATTGTGGTTCCTAGATATCATTAAAAGATATCATTTCTGGTAAAATCCAAAAAGGAAATGTTTTCTTTTTGAAATTAAATGCAAAATATTAAGAATGAATAGTATTCAAACATTTTAGATATAAAAATTCCTTTATTTTTATTAATTTTAGGAGGTTTGGGGCTACACCTGGATTTGCTCAGGGCTTACTACTGACTCTGTGCTCTGGGATTTCTCAAGGTGCTTAGGGTCCCATATAAGTATAAATATTTATATATATATACAATTGTAGCTATATGTATATTCACAGATTTTAATATGTGTATGATGCATATATATAAACACATGTATATCCAGTTGTATACATAGATATTTCTAAATGTTTAAATCCTATTTAAAATATCTAAAATAATTTACCTTTTACATAAATCCTATGAAACATGATAAAAGTGAATTTTATTCCTAAAAATAATTTGCTACTAAATACCAAGACATTCTAATTAGATTTCCCATTGCCTTGTCTTCACAAGGAAATAATATATTTTTAACATAATTCTCAGTTTATCCTCTCCCCAAAGACCTGGCATGGCAAAATATATCCAACTCATAAACATGTATTATTAAGAAGGAAAAAAACATCTCAGTGAACAACAGAATAAAAACATGTTCAAATAGTGTATGAAGCTAGCAGAATAAAATCAATGTCCTAAATTATTGACTATTTATAATGGACCTTCACATTTCTCATGGTCTGATCATTGACTAAGCCAACATATAACAAACTTTATATCCCACTGCACAATCAACTCAACTATTTATTACTCAACTATTTTAGACATAACAAGATTGAATTATTATTAAAGCAGTTGAAACGAGTGCCCCAATCATAAGATAATATCATCATTAACATAACTGAATCAATATGTTTGATTAATTTCCAGTATATAGCACTACCAAGAAAATACGTTTAGGTATCTGATAATTTTTCATAGTAATAAATCTGGTAAAAGTGAACAACAAAGTTTAATTAGAATAAAAAACCTTAAAGTGGAAAATGGAAAACCCCTCTCAGTGAGGATTTAACTTTTATAATTCTTAATTTCATTAAAGCTTTCCCTTTTATATCCTTAAATGCTCACTGATTCATTAACAACATAAATGATAAAAATTATACTATATTGCTAAATTTCTGTGTGAGCATTACTTTCGTAACCAGACCACCCTGGGGAAAAAAAAGATGAAGTGGTTTCTTTCATTCTAGCTGGGAATATTGAAACTTATTTATTTTTATTTCAGAAAATGTTATCTATGGATTTTATGAAAGCAAAATATATAAATAACATATTTGCATCACTTTTTTATTTGGCCTACCTTAAACTAGTGTGGATTTTAATTGCTCTGCAAAATGATCAAGCCCCTCTCCATTACATGGTCAATGGTCCTTTTAATAGAAGAGGCAATAATATACAGTTTGCACCAACTAAAACTCGTTAGAAACTATCAGTTTAGGGTAACAGTTCAACAGCCATTAACAAGTGCAAATGTCTAATTGTCTTTTAGTGAAAATGCAGTCCTTTCAAAGTCGCAAAAAAATATCTGTATGGTTTAACAGATTTGGAAATACTTTAATAAACAAAGTTTATAAAGAATATAATTTTGAGAGCAAAAGTTTTTCAATAATCACTATTTTTTCACTAGCAAAACATTAGAATTGACTTTTTGTCTTGCTGACAGAGCAACTAAGAAAGTACAGTTGCATTGACCGTATTGATTATGAACAAAGCAACCATCAGTGGGACTCTGCACCATATATTTTCAATATTGACCTCCTACTTCCTTTTCCATGGCTTTCTGGGTCGGCTATTGGATTTAGACTGCAGTGTAATAAACAGCTAAGGTTTAATTAATGGTAAATGAATACAAGACATAGGTTATGACTTTAACTAATTAGGGAATTGTTGAATTAAGTCTGCCTTGGAATGCAAGGCAGTACAATCAATATCCAATAAAAGGACTATGTATGTAATTTACCTGCAAATGTGTTTCCAATACCATCAAAGTGAGTTTAAATAAGTAAGATATATGAAAGGCGACTAGTAGAGATTTCCACAAGTTAACACTTTATAGTTTCAGAAAAATTACCTTACTGTTGATAGTTTCTTCTAAAGCCCTGATAAAGGAAAAATTAAAAGCAGGAATAATTCTTTACAAATGCATATTTACCAAACTGTGGTAAGTCAGTGCAGCATAAAAATGCAATTGCTGACCATCGGGTTTAAACTATGCAAACTAGGAATATCCTACCTAAAATGAGCATCAAACTTTTCTTAGTTGACATCCTTCTGCACCTTTCTCACATGCCACTGTCTATATTTCTATTCCTCTATTAGAAGAAATATTCTTTGGCATACAAAAATTCACTACTTTTGATAAAAATCTCACCAGTGCTCTCCTTCTTCTAGCTAACATGCAAAGGTCGCTTCTCTTATTATACTTTAGTCATTCTTCTGAAATAAACATTAAAAATGGAAAAGCCTTACCAACTCCCTTATGGGCATCCAAGCTGGTAAACTCTATTGTCCCATTATGACCTTTTCTAGGATTTTCCTGATACTGTTTGTGGTTCCCATTGGGACAATATCTGTAGGAAAGTCCATAATCTGCAAGATAAACCTGGAAGACATGAATAGACAAATGAATAATGCTTTTGTCCTCTGAAAACATAACCTTTATAATTAAGTTCTTACTAAACTGATAGGTTAAGAACAGCCTCTTTTTATTAAACCAAATGGCTCCTTAGGATAAATTATATACAATTGGGAGTCATAACAAGTAACTTTCTAACTTAAATCCTTACTGTTTCATAGGCTTTTTTTTTTCCCTGAGTGAGTAAAATTTTCAATCTTTTTTATTTTGCTGCTAAATTCCCTTCACTCTAGGTGGGCATATATAGACATCATAAACCAAAATGTGTCTTTTCATCTGTATTTATAAGGCTTGGGATACTCTCTGCCTTTTCCTATAACTCCTGCTTACAACTTAAAATTACTTCAGGTAGGCAGAGTAACAAGAGTAAAATGTAAAAGTATAAACCTAATGTTAAAGTAGTATCTATTAACGTAAAGTACAAAAATAGTGAAGAGACAGTAAGAGGTAATGATTCAAAAAAGCAAAACAAAAAATACCCCAAACATCATCCCTTTGTCTGTATTTTAGAACAGAACATCAATGTAGCACCTTTGACCTTTCAAATCGATCTATATCATCACTGTTATCTTTATAAGTCAGCCAGAATTGCAAGCAGGGTCTCCAAACAATATAAATTCACATAGCAGATCAAGCGGATTTTTTTCCATAGTATGTTTTTAAGAGAGAGTGGGAAAAAAACGGTGGGAGACATGAAGCAATTTTATAGATAGAGCACACACTGAACAGGAACTTGCATATCTAGACTTCCAGTCTAAGATGTAGTCAGAATATACTCATTCCAAAATGTATGCTGTCACCCTCTAATACACTGCCAAAGTATTTCAAGTTTTAAAATTTTATTTGACATGGATTTCTTTAAAATTAACGAACTCCCTAAATTTTTAGAAATTTTACAAAACAAAGGAAACAATTTAAACTGTAATTTCAAGACTATTGTAATACAATTTCTGATTAAAAAGATAATGTCTATAGACATTTTCATTTCCTTAAGGTTTGGCTTGGATAAGCTTAAGAAGGAGAATTTTGAATCTTTAAAGTTCAAAAATTGGGCCAGAGCAGGGCATTTGCCTTGCACATGGCTGACTTGGGTTCAATTTCTGGCATCCCATATGATCCCCCAAGCACCGCCAGTAGTAATTCCTGAGTGCAGAGCCCAGAGTAATCCTGAGCACCGCTGGGTATGACCCAAAAAGCAAAAGGAAAAAGTTCAAAAATTATTTCATTCAACCAAGATCATTTCATTTGTTGAAGGACACAGCTTGTGAGAGTATCTGAAAACATAATATTAGAGTGTTTCTCTAGCCCCTCACTTCTTAAACTACTGGTATCAATCCAATATTGGGGTCACATTTTAAAATGTTTGAAAATAAGGGATTTTACGATTCACTGTCAATAAATTTTACAAAACAAAGGAAACAATTTAAACTGTTGTTCATATATTTTATACCCTGTATGCCTGAAGTTACATAAAAAAAATTCTTGGGCGAAAGGGGTCACAGTAGAAAAAGTTTTAGAAGCCTTGTCTAGTCCATAAATGCTGTTTTTAACATGGCCTCAGAAGAAACTGATTTCTGTGTCCTAAGTAACTAGACTTCTGGATAAGAGAGATAACTGGGCTCTTGATTTCACTCCTTATGATGCATCTCGTCTTTATTCCAAGAATATTAAATTGACTTTTCTTCACAAAACTAATTATCTGAAGATGTACATACTGATAACATCAAATGGAAACAGTTTTCAGAGGGAGAGCCACATACAGGGGTATTTGGAGGATGCTTCTGGCTGTGTTTGGGGATCACTGCCTATAAGTGCTGAGAGGACCATGGGTCCCAGGATAGGCTGCATACACACCAAGTGCCTTACCCCATAGGATATATTCTTTCTAGTCCAACATTTTAAATACCCAATAGATTATAGTACATTACATTTTTTTAAAAAGTATCCATAAAAAAGCTATTAATGTAATTACTAACCAGAAAAAAGAACTAAAATTTAAATCTTTAATATGAACAATATATTCATTGACACACTACGTCCTCACAGAAATCATGCAGGTAGGTAAAATTCTGTCCATTTAATTTATATGAAAACTGAAGCTTTGTGAGGCTGTAGAAACTGTGGTGAAAATATAAGTAGGATTCTACTATAGTCCTGAATTTAGAGTTTTCCCTCTTGATTACTATCAGAGGGAAACTGCACTGAGCAAGTTAAATAGATAAGGAAAATTCTATTCAACCCTATTGCAATAGATGGGGGATGACCTTGCAAAAGGGTGGAGAGACTAAACTCAACAGTACAGAGAGGAAAGTCCAGGAAGTTTTTAGGTTTTGGGAGTGAGCCAGTGGGAAAATACTAGTGTAAAAAATCTTCTGAGGGGCTACGGCCAGGGAGTGGTGCTGAAGGCTCTTCCCCTGGCAGCCCAGGTTCTGGGTGGGCCCGGGCTGCTCCCCCAGGCCCTGGGGCAGATGTACAAAACAAGGGCAAAGCTGGTTGAATGCTACATCTGGCGCCCATCTACTTAAGTTCCCACACGGCCATGATCCAGAGACACACAAAAGAATCTCGGACCCAAGCAACTTACAGCAGCGATCTCTTCAGACCCAAATTATTAAAATTTTAGAATTCCTAGAGCACCTGGCCACTCTTGCGGCCACATGACATTATAATGTATCCATAATAAGCAATACAAAACAAGTTGTCTAGCATTGCCTTTTTGGCAGGTATGAGCAGTGGTGGGACTGTTTTTGAAATATCAAAGGTAACTAAAGTAGAGAGAGAGAGTATTGTGAAAATTGTCTGCTACACAGGTGTAAGGTCCCTTGGGACCCCAGGGAGATTCCAGAGTTAAAATTCTACTTAGTAGTAACTCTCCCTTTCCTGCCCCCTCCCTAGTAGAACTTTAGAGTGAAACCATTCCTCTGCCCTTCCTTATTGGGATGTAAATTCTGAAACCATTTGTTGACTCTTCCTTGCTGGGATGTAAATTCTGAAACCATTTGTTGAAGTATAAAGGTAAAGGTAAAGGCCCTCCCGCTGTTTGTGGATTTGCTCAAGCAGGCCCAGTAAAGTCTCCATTGGAGACTTTGTTGTTACTGTGTTTGGCATATCGAATACTTCACAGGGAGCTTGCCAGGCTCTGCCGTGCTGGCGAGAAACTCTCTGTAGCTTGCCGGGCTCTCCAAGAGGGGCGGAGGAACCGAACTCGGGTCGGGCATGTTGGCTGCGTGCAAGGCAAACGCCCTACTGCTGTGTTATCGCTCCAGTATATGTTGTTACAAATCTATTGGCTATGAAATGCACAGGCTTTGCTGTAAGGGCCAGTGAAGGCCTATATAAGATCCCCTTTGAAGAAGTTCTGGGTCTTGCCTCACCTATCTGACCTGCATGTCTGTGTAGGTGGCTCGACCCTGGCTAGCCAGTCTTACAATTAAACCTTGCTTGCTGTTTTCAGTCTCTGGAGTATCTTTGTGGTTAAAGGGAGATCACGATCTGATCTGCGTCCTAACACAGGCAGGTGGATGTGTGGGATGAGTGGGGTGGAAGGAATACTGGGTATTTTGGAGGTGGGAAACGTGCACTGGTGAAGGAATGGGTGTTTGATGGCTATATGATCGAAGCTCAAACATGAAAGCTTTGTTAGTGTACCTCACAGTGAATCAATAAAAAAATACAAATAAAAATAAATTAATAAATAAAATTACACACACACACACACTAAAAAAATTATATCTTAAAACAATGACTCCCGGGTTATTGTGGTCCTTGAGAAAGACATTCAAGAATGGCAGAATGGGAGAATGAGAGATGAGGAGATAATTAACATCTCAAGGGTCAGGAAGAAAAAGGATTTACAATTTCAAATTTTCTTAAGTAAATTTTCTAAGAAAAATGGAAGATTGGGGCTTACAGTCAGGAAGAAAGCAGTCTAAAGTTTAGCCAAGTTAAAACTTTCTTGGTCACTTCTGAGTTACAGACCTCTAGGTTTTTGCTGGCTTACTCAAACTCTGAAGGACAATACAGGGCTTATCTCTAATATAAAGAAAAGAATATTACAATATAAACCAAAAATCGATCATTAGTCATTTATGATTATTTTAATTAACATAGCAAAACAAAATAACTTGACATCTCAAGGTGCATTTACTTTTAAAAAGTAAAAACAAACTTATCTTGGATGGAACTAGAAAATGCCATGATAAATAAGTCAAAAGACAACAAAGAACAAACACAGAATGATCTCAATTATCTGCAAAAGAATAACTAGACAAAGAATGTAAGATATTAAAGGGTGGATAACTTACTCACCTTCACACCAGAATATAGAAAGGACGAAAAGAGAAAGAAAACAAAGAAGTTAGCAAGAAGCAGATGTAAAGTTACAGGGGGGCAGGAATTGAGGGCTTCGGGTATAAAGGTGATATAGAGGTAGAATATATCTCTATATCCAAACTGAAGAGTCAGGAGAAACACTAAAAGCAGGAGACCCAAACCACAGCAGCCAAACTTTAAAATGTGCCTGTCAAAGAGGCAGGCTGAGAGGGGAATCTGAGGACACTGACACTGGTAGAGGTGAAGGGAAGTTGACATTGGTGTCAGGACTGATGCTGGAACACAGTATGCTCAAAAATTAATTATGAATGACTTTGTAACTCACAGTGTCTTAATAAAAGATATTAAAAAATAAAAAATAAAAAAATAAAGAAACAAATGACTTGCAAACAGTACTAGGTGCTATGCAATACAGCCAGAAATACTCTTTGGAGTCTTACTGAGAATGTTTTATCCTCTTAAGAAATTTCAGTTATGAAAGAGTACTATCAAATATAGTCACCTAGTTATACATTAGATCCTTAGGGCTTATCTTATACTTGAACATTTATACATTTTAATCCATTTTTTAGCATATCTCCTACTCCCATGATACCATTCTACTTCTCTTACATTCAACTTCATTTTTAGATTCA